GTACTGTCATCAGAAATTAGGTTGGGGATATACTTCTTGCTGTTGTGAAGAGGTTTGAAGGCGTGAGGGATGTTGACCAAGAAGAAGCTGCTACCGTCGGGTATGGTATGCTCATTGCTAGGCATTTTATTACAACAAAGCATGGATTGAAAGTGACTCAATCAACACTGTCAAAAGGTCAAAAAGTATGATAGTGGGCTGCTCTCCACTAGCTTTGATTTATGATGATATTTATAATGTTTCTAAATCTTTTGATGTAATGCATTTGTCTAATGTAAAGCGGAGTGGTAATACGGTAGCTCACTTAGTAGCTAGGTGGGATACTCGTAGTAGCTCGGAACTCATTTGTATGACCTCTTTCCCCCAAAGTATTCTTACTTTGGCAGAGCTTGATGTACAATAATAATGCCGCTAACTGCTTTCTTCAGAAAAAAAAAAAAAAAAAAAGTAATTTGTGTTTTTTTTATTAAAAAAAATCTGTGTTCTCTTTAATTCCCTCTGTTTTTTAATACTTGCTCCACTTTCCTTTTTTTGTCGTTTTTAAATGCTTACTCCATTTCCTTTTTTTGGAAAGTGACAGACTAAAGACGTATCACCCAATCAAAAGTAATTCCTAAATCCTCTAACTAATGCAGATAGGGAAGTAGGGTCGAATCCACAGGGAAACTAGTCTATCTATTCCTAATTAATTAAAGCAATCTAAATTATAAAGTAACTAATATATTATAATCAAAGGATAACTAACTATAAGAGTGAAAGTAGGGAAGAATAAAAATAGAGAAAATTAATGAATAAAAGACATAGGGCATAGGTTCACCAATAAATAACATTCCTGGGTAAAGCAATAATTAATCAGATTATAAAGGGCTTTCGCTACGTATTACAATTATATAATTAATCTACCGGTATTAAATCTCATCTCTCGAATCTCGACTTAACCATTTATAAATTAACCTGCCTATTGAAACAAGACCTAAACATCAATTCTAATCTCTTGAATCTCGAATCATTATTGTCAAACTCATGCATAAAAGATCAGGCCTAATCTAGTCACAAAGCATTAAATCAATCAATAGGAAAAATCTAACATTGACAATCAACAACAATAAATTACCCCTTCATATTATTTATGGATCCCCACAAACCCTAGAAAGAAAATTACTAACATATAATTAAATCTAAACTAATCAAAGCAATAAAATAAGACATGATGAAAGAATTAAAGTAAATAATTGAGATTAAAGTAGAAGAAATCGTTACCAAAATAATATGAATTTAGGAGTTGAGTTAAGAACAAAGTACTAAGAGAGAGGAACTAATCTAAAAGCTAGGTAGAGAGAGAAAGTCTAAGAGAAGAAGTAAGAAAGAGTAAAAAGAAAGATACTAAACTTGATTAACGGAAAAGTATTTATATTAAACTAAAACAAACTTAAACGACGATTAATAATCTACTAATGCTGACACGCGCCCGATCGGGCCTGCCTTTTTACTCCGAAGTACAACTCTCGCGCCCGGCCGGGCGCGAGTTCGGGCGCCAGGTAGGTTCTCTTCCCCGCCAGGCCGGGCGGGCCTTTTGGCGGAAGCTCCTTTGGCCGGGTATCACTCTTGGGCCACTCCTTGGACTTCTATTGGGCTCCAATTCTTCGGGCCAATTTTGATTTCCTCTTCGGGTCTTGAATACTTGGTACAAAGGCCCCGCTATCACATATACCGAGCCCTTAATCACCGGTTCGATGGCTCTAACCGGCCCTGGGCTATAAAAATTGGTCGTGCATCTCCAATGCTCGTAGATACTCCATAATATCTCGGGAAAATGCTCCAAAAGTGCAAATCTCTACAAAAGTCAACCAAATCTACGAAAACACTAGAAAAACCTATTAGTAATAAAAGTGGCTCAAAAGAGCCAAAAATACTACTAATTATGACCAAGGGACGGGGGTAAAATATTTGTATAAGACAGCTCCCGCTGAACTATCGCCCAGCCCCCAGGGTGCGCACTCACTGCCGAGAAAGCAATTAAAGGAGGGCTCACTAGCCCGGCAGAGTCAGCCCGCAGGGCTGACCAGGCTGAACTCTCCACGAAGGAGATGGTACGCCTATAAATAGAGGATAAAGTACAACGGAAAGGGGGTAAGACAATCAAGTCATTATACTTTCTACATCTCTCTAAGTACACTTTCTCTCTGTAAACACTCTCTAACTTAAGCTTCGGAGGGGGGTTCCTTGAGCCACCCCTGAGGGCAGTTTACGTGTTCTTCCTTGTGTAGGTAGTTGACGGGACTCGGTTCACCCAGCAGAACCCTTGGATCCGCACCTGGAACAATTGGCGCTAGAAGGAGGGGTAGGATCATCTAACCTGAGGTTCACCAATTGAGCAAGGGACTAGTTAACTAACCACCATGGCCGGAGAAGAAACTGTACAGACACCCATGTCCAAAACAAATGAGACCAACCAAACACCATAAAAAACACCCCCAGTAACCGTCGATCCAAAAGGATCCACCGGAAACCCCAAATCGACCATCTCGCAGAAATCCAACCCCATTGGATCGACATCAGCTGCTGCTAAAGCAGCGTCGAAACCAGTAGACCCGGTAGGATCCAGCTCCATTTTCAAATACGGAATGCCATTAACAGGCGCGAATAGAGCTGTCAAAAGCTGACCCGACTCGAAATACCGACCCTAACCCGACCCTGACCCTAACCCTAACCCGTCTGAACCCGAAAAAAATGTGACCCGAACCTGACCTAACCCGACCTGAAACCAACCCTAGACCCGATTTGACCCGAGTATTGGAGACCCGAACCCGACCATGACCCGACCTAGAGAGGACCCGACCCGAATGTGACCCGTAAATTATTGACCTGAACCGAACTGACTCGAACCCGAGAATGACCCAAACCCGATATAACCCGTCAAAACCCGAATTCAACCCGACCTGTTACTAACCCGACCCGAGGTCTACCCGACCCGTTCCTAACCTGACTCGAATTTAAACCCGACCTGTTACAAACCCGACCCGAAATCAACCCGACTTGTTATTGACCCGACCCAAATTCACCCGACTTCTTATTGACCTGACCCGAATTTAAACTCGACCTATTACTAACCCGAATTTCAGGATTTAGGAGTTTTTAGGATAAAAAGAGTACTCCGTATTAACTATTGAGTTTCAGGCTTTTTTTCAATTTATTAACATGGATTCCAATTATGAAACAAAAGTGGTCTTTCTCATCTTACTTGACTTATCTCTTACATAATACTCGTCAAAGAAAACTGAACTGGACAACAGCCAAAAAAAAAAATTGACTGAATCTTAGTATATTAAGGAAGGTTGCACTCTAATGGCGAGATGGACAAAATTTTCCACCATGAAATCTCTATTGTGATTGATTTTATTTTTCCTAATTATCTTCAACTTCCTATATGAGCAATGAGCTATATGAGGACATGAGGTGATAGAGTATTAGAGTAGAGTTGTGACTCTCTGAGCTATCAATGTTTTTTAAACGTATTTGAGTCAATATGAGGTGAGTGAGGTGAATCGGTGATAGTGATTTTGTCTTTTTTTTTTGAAAGATAGTGATTTTGTCTACTTAAATCAGCCAAATGTATTTATTTTTTTTAAATTTATCTTATAAATAAACTTTTTTTTTAATAGCAAAAACATTTCATTAATTAAAAGTCATACGACATCTACAATAGAGATTTGACGTTAACAAATACATAAGATTATAACCCGTAAATAAACTTCCATATAACTACTTTATTTTTTTTCAAATTTTAGTATTCCCTTGTTTATCTTAATATTTTTTAAAATGTTTTAAATTATGCAATTTGATTTGGAGCTTTAAAAAAAATTAAAAATTTTATTGACTTGAATCGAACCCGACTCGAACCCGAGAATAACCCGACTTCAAAATGACTCGACTTGATTATAACCCGCAAATTATTGACTTGAACCAAACCCGACTCGAACCCGATAATGACCCGACCTGATTATAACTCGTAAATAATTGACTTGAACCGAAACCGACTCGAACCTGAACAGGACCCTAACTCGTTTAAACCCGTAAAAACCCGAATGTAACCCGACCTGTTTTTCACCCGACCCAAATGTAACCCGACCTTTAATTGACCCGACCAAAACCCGATAAGATGTATGACCCGACGTGACCCGACTCAAGCATGACCCAACCCGAACCCGACCCGCATAGGTCCCGACATTAACCCGTACTGACCCGACCCGAGATGACCCGACCCACACTAATCCGACTCAAACCCGACCCATTTACCCGAATTGACAGCTCTAGGTGCGAACAATGAACAATCAGAAACAGAAGCCCGTAAATATGTCAGCCATTCTGTAGAACCTCTCTAAGTGCAGTAAGGAGCAACTGGCTGCAATGACTGCGGTCCTTACCAATATGGGTAAGGGGGCAAGTCCGTCACCGACAGCGGCAGCTACGGAGCCCGTAGCGAAAAAGCCGGTGTCCTCGAGCCTCACCCCTGAGCAGAAAGAGCTCATTCAGTTGAGGAAGAAGGTATTAGAGCTGGAAGCTCGTAACCTGAATCGAGAATGGAGTGTGGAGGAAATAACCCCTGCTCGAATCAACCCAGAGAAGCGATTCCCACACAGCAGGTCACCGACCTCAGAGCAAGGACCAAGCCCGGAGAAAGACAAACGAGCGCGAATCCAGGTTGTTCCAGATGATTCCCCATTTTGCTGGAGATTCTGGAGGAACCAATGGAGATAGTAAAGATGCCAATTAGCAGATACAACGGAACCACAACACCCAAAAGCCACATGTCAGCTTTTGAGAACCATATGGTACTTTACACTATGATAGACTCAGTCTGGTGTAAAGCTTTCCCGCCGACCCTGGAGGGGCTGGCAGCGGAGTGGTATGGAGCCATTCTCAAATGTTCCGTATACTCGTACAGCTAGTTAAAGAGAATGTTCATAGAGCATTTCATAACCCTGGTAGACCGAACCAAGATGACAACCAAGCTGATGTCGTTGGTTCAAGGGAAAGACGAGCCCCTGAGGGAGTTCATCCCCAGATTCAACAAGGAGGCAACAACCATCCCAAATATGAGCCAGGAGGTAGCGCTACTAGCAATGCAGAGTGGCTTACTACCAGGATCATCGTTTAGAGCGTATATGGGGCGTAAGAGCCTCAAAACACTTGCTGAAGCGCTAGGCAAAGCGCACGAGTTCAATAAAGTAGACGAGACTGACAGAGCAATGCTGGGTAGGAAAGCACCAGGTGACTCAGTTAAGCGGGAAGAGGTCACCCGGGCAGAGAACACACCCAGGGTGGACCAGCCGAGCAGGACTGAGAAAAACCGCAGAGAAGCGGACAGAGTAATGGGCTTGAGAAGGTCAGACCCAAAGAGAGGGCCAAGGCCGAGGAGGTTTGACCAATATACCCCATTAACCCATTCCAGGTCTCATATAATCAGCGTGAACAAAACTGATGACAAGTGGCAGAGACCCCCGAAGATGGTTAACAGAAATCGTGATACAAGCAAGTGGTATGACTTCCTTAGAGACCATGGTCACACCACTGAAGAATGCACGCATTTGAAAGACAACATAGAAGACTTGGTCAGGATAGGGTACTTGAATCACTTTAAGCAGCGCGATGACCCTCCTAGAAGGAGGGATGAAGATAGAGAAGGCCGCCCTGACCGCAGAGGAGGTCAAAGGTGTTGGGGTTTGGTGAGTCCGACTCACCGCGAAAACAACCCCGACCCGAGGAACCACTCGCAATAATTAAAATCATAAAGCATAAATAAATAATCACAAAGAAAAAATAACGAATCTTACCCTCGAAGCGAGCTTCGCCCAAAAATCGGGGCTCTTACTTGAAAGCTACGAGCACGTCAAGCGCCGCGCCTCCGACGGTATCCACCCAAAAAAGGGCGAACACAACATTAAGGTCCGCTACCTTGGGGTTAGCAAGGTCCGACCAAAACCCGAGTGTTATACGAGTTTAAGAGTTTTCCCAAAAATTATGGAATGCTCTTTTTAACTTCCACTCTAGCAAAGAATTCTCAAGCCATGCCATGACTATTTATAAGGAAGTATGCCTTGTGAATTTCACTCATCTTTCAATGTGGGACTTTTCACAAAAAGATCCCACATGGAAAGATTGGTGAATTCAACCCTTAGTTTAACAAGTGTCACATGGTTAGGTGTGGACCACTTTCTCACTTGGTCCCCAAGGCATTTCACATGCAATGTGAACTAACCATGTGTCACCCAACCTTGAGCCCCAAGTTGGGTTCGGTTGGCCCATTTTATTTTGGCCCGTGTCCATGACCCATCAACCCGGGTCCACGGCCATTGCCACATGTGTCGCCACCGTGGCGCGCCGCCACCATGGCACGCTGCCACTTGGTGGCTGCCACGTGGTGGCTGCCAACGTGACTGCTGCCACTTGGCGGCTGCCAACGTGGCGGCCACGTGTGCTGCCACATGGCGTTTTGCCATGTGTGCTGCCACGTGGCATGCTCCTATTGGGCATGCATTCCTAGCCTTTCGCGTGGCTAGGATTTTACTTGTTACATGATGCATTTTCCCGTCTCGCCAAATCCTAAATTTCGGCTCGACATTTGAGATTCTCCAACGCTCGGTTTCGACGCTCCAAGCTTGAATTTCCGACGTCTAAATGTTTAACACTCGGGCGACGAATTAATTTTTTCCGAATTAATTTGTCGAGTTGGTTCGTATATTTTGCTTGGGTGTTACCCGAAGGGTTCAGTCAAGATTAAGCTGTAATATTAATTATATTAATATTACTAATCGGAAGCGGCCTCCACACAGGCATTCCGATCACTTGACCTTACTGAATATATTAGCTTTCTAATAATTCTGAGCCCGCTATCAGAATAATACACTTGTTCGAAGGACACCATTCCTTTCAATCTCTCACTTGTCCTTCCGGACAAGTGTGCATTTAGTGTATAGCCCTTATCCTATGTCTCTTCATGTCTCTTCATGAACTACAGAGTAAGATTACTAGTCATCTCTGTTACGTCCAGAAGTGTTTCTCGAAATCTGAGTTTGACTGTCAATAAGCAGATGATTTCTAAAATCCATCTGAGCACGGCCATGCATTTTTCACAGTCTCGCTCTTCGAGAGGCCTTGTAAACAACAAGACATGTTCCCTATTGTTAGTAGGGGGACATTTCCAGTCTTGTAATGTAGCTTCTCTTACTAAGAGGACTCACCCGCCTGATATATGTCTTTATAATCCCTAGTTACGGCAGACGTTTGGCGGATACCAAAGCGGACCAGTACTCAAACAAGAGATCTCTCACTACTCATGGTCAAAGGAAAAGAGTTCCGATAGTAATAATGAGAAAATACTTATGACGATTTTTTAAATCTCTTAAAGTATCCTCATAGGTCGATCCAGTATGGTCCTAAACCAATACCTGTGCAAATGATTTATATCCTCATAGCACAAGAAACGGTGCTATAAATCATACTACACACTAATCTCTGATGGTCATCAATCGTCAACAAAATATGACCTTGATTAGGGATAATTTTCGATTAAAATATTCAATGTTCACTTAATAGGTGTTTCTTTATCCAAGCCATTGACTTGATACCCTATTTTGAATATTTATTAAAATCGAATGGACTCATTATTTAATTCTAAACCACAATTAAATAGTTTTGTGGAATATTTAGAAATATTTTATTCCACTATGAAACTTCACAATGTTTCATCTTATGATTAATGGTTTTCCCCAAATATTTTAAGAGTAGTACTCTTCATAAAATATTCATAAAAATCACACTCATATTTGATATGCTTGATTTCTTTCATGCAATTATGAATGTTGTCGTTCACTTATTGCATAGGTTTAGTTATAATTACTTTGCAAACCTTAGCATCTTCATTATCCACCATTTCCATAATAAGATGATAAAATTTTGAGAGTGTTAATGGATTACATGTGATTCAGGATTTATTGTCCAAGCAATTGCTCCCACTCATTTTTATGATTCGAGACCTTCTACTTGACAACCTACAATCATCAACGTTTAACAACGAACTTTTCCATTTAACATCTTTCCTTATTATTGCCTTTAAGGCAACAATATTCTCAACATATATTTTAGAAGACTCCCTGATGATGTCTTGCTTGGGTTTCACTCCATGTGACTCACAACGATTTGGGATACCCTAATCACTTGTGAGCATGGAAATTTTCCTTAAATTCCCGCACATTATACATGGATGCACATCCATGTTACCATTCTCAAGCCACGACACTTCTTGCCTCGTGCTTATAAATGGCTTCCTTACTAAGGATCTAATCCTTGTTAAGGTTTGTGCTTGCAACATCAAAACTCAAATTATATTTGTTTCCATGCGTCAAGAACTCATCCAACTACTTATCTAAGTTCTTTGGATGTTCTTGACTATAATCTAATGATCTAATACTTAGATTAATGTCTATTGGTATTATATACGTACTTCACATGCTCTAAGCATTTAAGTCATCTGACGATTCCATATCATAGCTTTACATGATGGATTTAATTCTAGAATTATTCTCAATTTTATTCCATCCATGTAACATTTAGCTCATACAGTCACACTGAGTCTTGCCAAATTGTTTGCTATATGATGTGGTTGAAAGTCTCCTACTAGAGTCTTTCTCGTTTGACTTAGTACTTAGCCTAGCTTATACATAGGTCAAACATTTACTTAGTTTCATACATATGGGTCGAAAGCCTTTCAAAGTCCTTCATGTTTAACATAGTAATTTCTTTTACTCATTTAAACATTTAATTAAGTCTATACCATAGAACTTAATTCCCAACATGTACTAAGTATCGTCTTTAGCTCGGTCCATTGTCGAAAATACTTTCAAATCTAAACATTTAGCATTTGATGGTTGTTTCGCAATAGAGTTCGTAAACTTCCTGTTGGACCATTAATTTTGCTCCCACTAAACTTCTTGTTCATCAGAATTTCTATGTTTCTCCATAAGTCAATCCTCTTATTAACTTTATGAGAAAACACGTTCCAATTCCTTCATGCAATGCTTCCTTTAATCCTATGACGGATTCCATGTGCTTGCTTTCAAATCTAGCATTATTTAGATTTTCAAAACCCTTAGACTATTCCATAGTCACTTCCAAAATCCTATTTTGGGTAGGCGGTTTTTGTATCTATTTTGCCATATTTCATATGTGCAATTTTGCTAGATCAATCACGAAAAGACTTGAGCATTCCGATTGGTGAATGGGATTTTATTAAAATCAACTCCTTGATATTAATTATATCCTTTACAACCAATCTAGCTATGTATGCATATACATTTCCACATTTTGTTAGTTTTCTCCTTGAAAACTTATTTACAATCGATGGGTCTTTCACTTTTCATGCAAATTAATCAAGTTTCAAACATGATTTTCAAACATGGAGTCTATTTCGGATTTTCATGGTCTTTAACCATTATTCGGAATTTGGATTTGTCGTAGCTATCTTACAAGACATTTTTACTATCTAATAGTAAATAGTATGCTTGTAAGTCTTAGGTTTGTTTCTAACTTAATAGAAAATTTATAGGATTCAATCCAAGCCTTTGGTGAATTCTATACCTATACGGGGCAATTGCATCAAACACTGAGTTTTAAGGCGCTTTCAAAGCCCTTTTATTATGTTGATCTTACTCCAACATTTTTAATGTTTTGTGAGTAATGAATTCTCTTTTAAGGCACTTGTAAAGTCCTTTTGAGTATTCTTGATCAAGCATTCTCATGAAGTCCTTTAAGGTCTTCCGAGATTCTCACTTCTAGTTTGTTGCTAAGTTCGATGGTCATCGAGTTCATTTGTCTCCCACTTGTCGTTTTGGAAACGTGTTACTTTCTAGAAAGACACTGCTTAGAGAAACAAACAATTTTTGTTCTCAATTAGGATGTGGAGGTAATACCCGTAGTCTCACTTGAATTCTTACAAAGAGACATGTATATTGTCTTTGGGTAAAAGTTCGTTGTGAAACAAACAGTTAGCTCCTACTTGAGCTATCTTAGTCTTTATTGAGCCATTCAGCTCCCACTGAGTCACTTAGCTCCCACTGAGCTAGTGAACTCCCACTGAGACTAAGAGCCTTAGACATATACTTGAAAAGACTTTTAGAAGTTATTTCTATCCATAACTGAATATGGCGTCCTTTCTAATCTTCGACACATTGTTTAGTGTAACATTAGTCATTTTTGTAAATCTTTAAGAACTTTATAGGAAGGGTTGTGAACCATCATTGTTCAAGTCATTTTCAAATGACACCGAGGTCTCCATGAAGACACACTATGTTCTTTGTGGAGTTATTTATGAAAATTTCCGTTCATAACTTTGAGATAGTCACGCTTGGCTCAAGCAAACATCGCTCGATCTAATCTAGACGTTTTGATATCTTGCCAAGTCGATTATGTACTTCACTGAACTCTTGAGCTACTCAAGTCAAGTTTGTTCACATTTGATGAATATAGCCATATCCTTTCAAATTCTTTGTGAAATGTTGAAGTAATTGAATCCTCTTTAGCCTTCGGAGTCAACTGTCTATACCAAGAACAATAGCTCTCTGTTTTGTCGGTTTCAACAAGTAAGACTTTCTTGTCTTAGAACGATTCCAAATCGAGCAACTATCAAGAGTCTATCTAATAGAGCCTTTGAGTACGTTCTTGTCGATGTGACATTGCTAAAGATGTTCGGAATGCAAATCAAGCCCATGACTTGAACTTAGTGAGTTTATCATGTTTAGGAAATGTTTGTTTATAATCAGGCATTCTTGACTCAATGCTTGGATAACCATGCCATTCAAATAAATCTCGCAACTATTGCTCATTACTTTGAATGTGAGTCTTTCCGTGTGTAAACGGATCAATTGCTGATTATGGGACATAATAACCATTACTTGTTCCAGCCTTTGGCTTTAAAAGGTCTTTAAACAAAACATACGACCTTACAACTGATGTAGCTTTTCTTGCTTCATTCTAAGCTTGTAAGTCGATAACTTATCTTAACTTCAATAGTTTGAGGTCACTATCATAGTGGAACACTCAAGCAGTATCCGATACTTGTGAAGATAACGAATTGCTAAGTTAACTACAATAACATGAACTCATGAGTTGAAATGAAATCTAATTCCTTTTCTTCGTTCCTTCTTTCCTATATTTCTTATCATACAATATCTCATAATCTTACTTTAAGAATCATTTCTTTAAGTATCTTGACTCTTATACTTTGTTAGGCATAATCAAGCACCTAGTGCGCCGTAAAACAAAGTTCCATCTTTTCCACTAATTCTTACTCTAATTACTACATCAATGAGTCCTACTCAATTATGTATGATGCGAAAGGATACGTTGGTTGTCAATCTTGAGATTGCAACTCAATTCCTCATGTTTTATCAAAACTACCTAGTATTTTGAATACATGATGTCCAACCGTCCTTTCGCACTTAGTTATAAAAGTCATTTATGAGAATTGTATTTTAGAAATGCTTTTCCTGTCTTTGAGATCTATTCTCAAGGATTTCCTTTACCAATCATGGAAACAATATTATTTGATTTAGAATACTATAAATATAAGTGCTAAGTATAACCATTTATCAAGAACATAATAAGTTTGAAATTTAATAGCATTCATGCAAACTTCAATCTTATTAAACGTCTTATTTACGCATAATAATTGTCCCTATTTGGCGAAAATAAGGCGATTCCAAGATCCGAAGAAACAAAGAGTGGTTAAGCATGCTTTGGCTTGTCTTAAACACTCAATCTTCTAGGGTAAGCATTGCCTTTCTAATGGCTCTAAGCCACTCTTGGTTAGACAATCGTTGCATCTAATGCATCTTTGACGATGTATCTCTTTTGCCACGGTATGTGAGGACTTCTCACTCATACCAATGAGTTAAACCAAAACCAATGTGCACTCCCGGTGTGCCTTATGCCCCTTGGAGAAGTGATGGCACCTCGCTTTGGCATAGCCTACCATCACCATCGTCCGATTAGTAAGTGTTATTTTGGAAAGGCAAGTTTGACTCAATATTATTAGGGAGCTAGGATTTCTATGTTGGTTGATTTAAGTGAACTTAACTAATCATCACAACATCAAGAAAACCTAAACATTCATCTAACGAATAATTCACACACATATATATATAAGCATAAAATATAGAGCGAAATTATAGATTCATATTGGCAACTAGCATGACCCCTTGAAATCTTCATATCTTCAAAAGGTCTTCATTTGCAATTCAAGGCTTTGTCTTCCAAGATAAGCCGTCTTCAAGACTTAACCAAACTATGCAAAAACTAGTGTCTACAACTAGGAATAATCTAAATATTAAAGTACAAAAATACTTAACGGTGCGTAGATCGTATTTAGATTTACAAAAATACATAACGACACGTAGTCCGTATTTTCTATCCTAGTCGGGTCCCACTAGTTGCCATTTCATAAAATCTGTGAGAGAGAATATATATATACCATTCATCCATTCACTATTTGTGAATGGCCCATGCAATTTACAAATTTAAAACAAAGTAAAATGCATTTAAACACCGCGCGCACTAGTAACTAATCTAGGTGGTTAATCCGATTAACACGCCTAATTAAAACTAGTCAAAGTTGTTTAACCGATTATGTAAATGACATCATTAATAATTGAAGCTCCCACTAAATTCCGCATTTCCTTAATTAATCTAATTAATTAAGTCAGTAGCACCCAAACTTGTCAAAATGAAATTTTGCCAATGCCGCTCAAAACCGAGGCCTAGCCAACCAATATTTTAATTAAAATAAACAAAATTAATTAAATTAAGTAAAACGGCAAAATAATTAACATCAAGCCTTACTACGGCTAGTCACCTCACCGCACCAAGCATACGCACACGCCAAAAAACGAACACAGGACCCACGGCACACGACCGCGAGCTACTGCCACAGCACAGTCGCGCGTGGCTGCTGCAGCTCGCGTGCTGCTGTCGCGCGTGTGCTGCTGCCGTGCGTGGCTGCTGCCGCGCGTGTGGCCGCAAGCAAGGCGGCGCTGCCACCTTGGCAGCCACATATGGGCTGCTATGCAGCCCGGCTCGCCAAGGTGATGCATTGCCTCGCTTTGCGTGCCACGACCTCGGGATTTGATCCCTTTTCGCGAGACAACAATAATTAATTCTAAATTAATTTTAGAACTAATTTAGAGAGAAAAATAAAATTTTAAACAAGTCTAACTTAATAAAATTTTCAAAGTGCAAATAACCAAAATAATTCCAAGAACCATTCTTAATTAAATTGGTTTAGCTTGGTGCAACATAAAATTGAGGCAATTTCTCACTTTCAATTTAATCAAGTTAAATTAAACTTGAGAATTTGACAAAGTAAAGGGAAGTTGGAAAAATATGAACTTTAATGTTCAAATGAAAATTCCAACATCTAAATTTTGTGAATCCTTGAAAATTATATCTTCCAACATGAAAATAACCAAATTTCTATTACAAAAATCAAAACTTTATGTTTCCAATCAACTCAAAATGATTAAAACATCAAAGTTTAACACAAAATAACATGGAATTTAGTGGTTTTTAAAGTTTCAATCACTTATCACAAATAAAGATTGAATCTTTAACACTTAGGAAGCCTCAAAATTAAAACTTTCACACTAAAAAGCAATTAGTTTGCAATTATGTGAAAATAAATCAACCTTTAAGCATCAAATACTACCAAGTAAGTGTGCTTTAAGGGGACATAAAAATGCAGAAAATAATGCAAATAATCAACAATATAATCAACAATTTATGCCATTAATTTCAAGGTTAGAAAAGACTTAAAAATTTTCGTCAAAAACGAAAAACCCCTCGAAAAAGGCATTTCTGTTCAGAATTTGGCAAAAATCACAGTCCTCTTGGGGGTAAAAACATTTCCAGAAAACGTTTTCCACCCAAAATTCACTAGTCTTGGGTGAAAATCTGAGTTCTGGGCCAAACTCGACATTAAAAACGGGATTAAAATAAATAAAACCGAGCTACTAATCTAATTAGCAACTTAAACCAGAAAATTAAGCCAAAATAAACCTTGAAAAACATGATTATAAAAATAAACGAGCGGGGCTCCGATACCGCTGTTGGGGTTTGGTGAGTCCGACTCACCGCGGAAACAACCCCGACCCGAGGAACCACTCGCAATAATTAAAATCAGAAAGCATAAATAAATAATCACAAAGAAAAGATAACGAATCTTACCCTCGAAGCGAGCTTCGCCCAAAAACCGGGGCTCTTACTTGAAAGCTACGAGCACGTAAAGCGTCGCGCCTCCGACGGTATCCACCCACAAAAGGGCGAACACAACATTAAGGTCCGCTACCTTGGGGTTAGCAAGGTCCGGTCAAAACCCGAGTGTTATATGAGTTTAAGAGTTTTCCCAAAAATTATGGAATGCTCTTTTTAACTTCCACTCAAGCAAAGAATTCTCAAGCCATGCCATGACTATTTATAAGGAAGTATGCCTTGTGAATTTCACTCATCTTTCAATGTGGGACTTTTCACAAAAAGATCCCACATGGAAAGATTGGTGAATTCAACCCTTAGTTTAACAAGTGTCACATGGTTAGGTGTGGACCACTTTCTCACTTGGTCCCCAAGGCATTTCACATGCAATGTGAACTAACCATGTGTCACCCAACCTTGAGCCCCAAGTTGGGTTCGGTTGGCCCATTTTATTTTGGCCCGTGTCCATGACCCATCAACCCGGGTCCACGGCCATTTCCACATGTGTCGCCACCGTGGCGCGCCGCCACCATGGCACGCTGCCACTTGGTGGCTGCCACTTGGCGGCTGCCAACGTGGCGGCCACGTGTGCTGCCACATGGCGTTTTGCCATGTGTGCTGCCACGTGGCATGCTCCTATTGGGCATGCATTCCTAGCCTTTCGCGTGGCTAGGATTTTACTTGTTACTTGATGCATTTTCCCGTCTCGCCAAATCCTAAATTTCGGCTCGACATTTGAGATTCTCCGATGCTCGGTTTCGACGCTCCAAGCTCGAATTTCCGACGTCTAAATGTTTAACACTCGGGCGACGAATTAATTTCTTCCGAATTAATTCGTCGAGTTGGTTCATATATTTTGCTTGTGTGCGACGCGAAGGGTTCAGTCAAGATTAAGCTGTAATATTAATTATATTAATATTACTAATCGGAAGCGGCCTCCACCCAGGCATTCCGATCACTTGACCTTACTGAATATATTAGCTATCTAATAATTCTGAACCCGCTATCAGAATAATACACTTGTTCGAAGGACACCATTCCTTTCAAAAGGGGCCCAGCCGGAGACAAAGACGTAGATGGCAAGCTAGAAGGCAGGGTGTATGTGATCAGCGGGGGCCCAGTACATGGGGGTACATTCAACAGAGCGCGAGTTGACCTGCGGGCGATAATACTTCAAATAAATGACAATGATAAGTGTAGATGGCCACCTCTTCCCCCGCAACTGCAAGCCACGTTTGACGAGTATGACCAGAAGGGCATAATTTACCCCCATGATGACCCGCTGGAGGTGACAATGAGAATCGCAAACTGGGAGGTGGATAAAATACTAATAGACAGAGGCAGCTCAGCCAACATCATATACATCAGTGCGTTTAACGAGCTGAAGTTGGACAGAAAAAGACCTAAAGAGGGTGAGCTACGAAGTCACCGGGTTTAATGGGTCAGGGCTTACCCTAGAAGGTATAATCAAACTCTCCATCCGAGTAGGGGAAAGATCAAGAAGGCGTGATGTCCGGGCAGAGTTCCTCGTGATAAACTCCCCTTCACCCTACGATGTGATCATGGGAAGACCACTCATCCACAAGATAGGCGGGGTGGTATCCACCTATCACCTTGCCCTGGCCTACACAACTATTGAGGGACGGTCAGCAAAGCTCAGGGGAAGTCAAAGGACAGCCCAACAATGTTACATAACCGCCCTAAAGCAGCCCACAAAAATCAGACAGCAGCCTAATTCAGAGAGAAGGCCCACTGAACAACCTGAGAGGAAGTCGAGGAAAAGGAAGCGTGAAGAATATCACAGGGAAAAGGATAAACAGAAGCTAGCAATGGAAAACTTTGAGCCCGCAAAAGAGGAAATGGCCAGGCCACTTCCCAGTGGGGAGCACGTCACAGTCGAGCTCACAGAGGGTGACCCCTCAAGGACGATGAAAATCGGGAAAGACATTGACCCAGGAGTAGGGGTACACCTTATAGAGCTACTGAGGAAGAACAAAGACGTTTTTGCATTTTCCGCAGATGAGATGCCCGGAATTGACCCAGCAGTCATGGTACACAGGCTGAATGTGAAGGAGGATATTAAGCCAGTTAGGCAGAAAAAGCTAAACTTCTCCACGGAGAAAAACCAAGCAATCCAGGAGGAGGTGGAGAAGCTCCTGGAGGCAAGATTCATTGAACCTTGTGACTACCCAGAGTGGTTAGCCAACGTGGTCATGGTAAAGAAAGCAAATGGCCAGTGGAGAATGTGTGTTGATTTCACAGATCTTAATAAGGCCTGCCCGAAGGACTGTTACCCGCTGCCGCGGATAGATCAGTTGGTAGACTCAACCAGCGGACACGCCCTGCTAAGCTTCATGGACGCCTTTTCAGGGTACCATCAGATCAGCCTGCATGAGCCAGACAGGCAGAAAACCGCATTCATCACTGAAGGGGGAGTGTATAATTACATAGCTATGCCCTTCGGGCTGAAGAATGCTGGGGCAACTTTTCAGAAGGCAATGGATAGAGTATTCCTTCACCAGAAGGGTAGAAATGTTGAAGTATACGTTGACGACTCAATTGTTAAGAGCGTCACGCAGGCTGGACATATCATGGATCTGGAGGAAACATTTGCCACCCTGAACAAATATAAAATCAAACTCAACCCGAAGAAATGTGTCTTTAGGGTGAGCTCGAGAAAGTTCTTGGGTTTTCTGATCAGCGAGAGAGGGATAGATGCCAATCCAGAAAAGGTCGAAGCAGTCCTCAGCCTGCTTGAGCCTAAGTGCATCAAGGATATCATGCAGTTGACAGGCATAATGGCCGCGCTAACCAGGTTCATCAGCAAGTCAGCGGATAAGGCCCTGCCGTTCTATCAGCTATTGAAAAGGAACAGAGAATTTAAGTGGGGGCTAAAGAGAAAGAAGCCTTTGAGGGCATTAAGGAGCATCTGACTAAGCTCCCAACAATGATCAGCCCGGAGCTAAGGGAAAAGTTGCATCTGTACATCTCTGCGTCAATACAGACAATCGCAGTCGTTTTGCTGGTAGAAAGACAAAAGCAACAAAGGCCAATATACTTCATGAGCCACGTGCTGACCGAGGCAGAGCAAAGGTACCCATTGGTAGAGAAGCTAGACTTCGCAGTGGTCACAGCAGAAAGGAAGCTAAAGCCATATTTTGACGCTCATGTAATAGAAGTCCTCATAAACCACCCGCTGGAGAAAGCATTACAAAAAATGGATGCATCGGGCAAACTCTTAAAACGGGCAATTAAGCTTTCTGAGTACGAATTCGAGGTCAAACCTAGAGTAACCATCAAGGCACAAGCTTTAGCAGACTTCATAGTGGAAGCTTTCTACGAGGAGAAAGAGGATGATATTGGGGTCTGGAAGGTAGAAGTGGATGGGTCCTCGGCCCAAACGGGGAGTTAAACAGGAGTCATAATGACATCTCCAGAAGGAAACGTATTCGAGTATGCCATAAAGTTCAAGTTCAAAGCATCGAATAACAAAGATGAGTACGAAGCGGCACTGGCAGGCCTGCGTATGAGCCTCGCAGCCGAAGCCCGCAAAGTACACCTGCAAACTGATTCTCATCTCGTTGCCAGCCAACTGCAGGGGGCGTATGAGATAAGGGAAGCCACCATGCTGAAGTACGTAACCAATGTAAAGGAACTGGCTGCCCAGCTAGTCCACTTCCAGATAGACTTGGTCCCCAGAGCAGAAAACTCTCAGGTCGACACCTTGTCCAAGATAGCCTGGTTCTTAGACATCTTGGCGTACAAAGTCCACGGCTCACTACCCAACGATGAAGTACAAGCTAAGAAGGTGAATAAAGACGCTAATTGGTATGTAGTGATGAACGGGGAACTCAACAAAAAGGGCTTCTCAAAGCCACTGCTGAGGTGTATTCTAGAGTGGGAGCAGGAGGGCATTATGGAAGAAGCCCACTCCGGAATATGCGCCAACCACATTGGTGGAAAAGCATTGGGAGTAGAGGTCCTCAGAAGGGGGGCATATTGGCCAACTCCCGCACAAGACGCACTAGCATATGTGAAAAAATTCGACAAGTGTCAAAAGTATTCACCAATCATAAATCAGCCAGCAAACGATCTAACTCCAATCCTCAGCTCGATCCCGTTTGCTTAGTGGGGAATGGAAATATTGGGACCTTTCACCACTGGGTCAGCGGGCAGGAAGTATCTCATTGTGGCGATAGATTACTTTACGAAGTGGATAGAAGCCGAACCCACTAAGTACATAAAGGCAGCCCAAGTTAGGACATTCATATGGAAAAGCATCATCACAAGATTCGGGGTGCCACAGTGCATAGTCTTTGATCACGGGTGTCAATTTGACTGTGACACCATAAAGGACTACTTGGGGGACATGGGCACAAAGTATGCAAGTGCCTCAGACTGCCACCCGCAGAGCAACGGTCAAGCAGAAGCAGCAAACAAGCTGATCTTGACAGCCCTTCAGAAAAAGCGAGAGGAGTACAAAGGACTATGGGCAGACCTAGTCCCAGAGGTCTTGTGGGCAAACAGGACCACTAAGAAGGAGTCAACCGGTAAGAGCCCCTTCACCCTGGCCTACGGGGCTGAAGCAGTTGTCCTAGTGGAATTACAAATCCCCAGCTTGAGGATACAACACTATGAGCAGCAAGGAAATGAAAAGCGTATGCTGGAAGAGCTAGACTTCCTGCCAGAAGTAAGGCTGAAAGCAGCTCTCAAGTTGGCAGCTCAGAAGAGCAGGATTTCAAAAGCTTTCAACAAGAGGGTCAAGCATAGGGAGCTCCTGCCCGGAAACTTGGTCCTTAGAAGGACAGCAGCAGTGGGAAGAGGAAATCAGCATGGAAAGCTATCAGCAAACTGGGAAGGCCCTTTCATCATTCACGAGCAAGTTGGACCAGGAGCGTTCCTCCTTGCAGATCAAGAAGGTCAGGTCTTAAGAAACAGTTTCAATGCGGATGTGTTAAAGAAGTATTTTGTTTAAATAGTCTGAAAAAACAAACATAGTTGTCTCAAGTCTGATAAACTTTTATTCAGTCCATGTTATGTTAATTAAGGCATTTGAGCCATTTTTATTAAATGAAATACAAGCCTCTACGTGAGGAGTATGCTGCGTAAATTTTTTTAATATGTTATGCCCAAGCATCATATGCTAACATGCAGAAGTCAAATAAAGACAATAACAAAGTGTTAGAGGCAAGAAGCACTCTAGCGCAAAGTGGCAAAGCAAACACATCCCTCCCTAAAACTTCACCTCACCTGCTCACAGCAAAACAGGGCACCACCTCGGGGACGCCTGAGGGGGAAGCCTGACACGTTCAGCTTGAGCAGGAGAGAAAAGGGGAAAAGAAGAAGATGAGCTATGTGGGCAACACTAAGGCTCTCTTAGTCCCACTTAGTTCATCTCTTTGAGGGGGAAAGGAGAGGAGAAGACAACCAGACAATAAGCCCTTACGAAAAGAAGTAAGTAGGCACAAAAGACAAAGTCGCAGCATAAACAAGCTGAACGACATAAATAAGTCACAGCAAAACAAGCTGAATGACAACTCACAAAATGACAAAGTCGCAGCATAAACAAGCTGAACGACATAAATAAGTCACAGCAAAACAAGCTGAATGACAACTCACAAAATGACAAGTCGAAGCATATGTAAGCTGATCGACACAAATAAGTCTCAGCAGGGAGGCCCAACCTACGAGGCCCCACCAAATGCAATAAAAATGCTGCAGCACTAACAGATCTGGATACTGCTAAGAAAAGGATAGTTCCAGGCAAATGTGCAAACAATAAAATAAACAGCATGCGAAGCAGCAGAAGAAGATCATAAAAAGAATACATTATAAAGCTGAGCCCCTGCCCCCAGGGCAGAGTAAACATTCAGCAAGACAGTCACGGGACAAATGAGGTCGAGCCCTGGTCCACCAGGACAAGGAAACACTCAGTGGGTAAAGTTAAGAGAACACAAATTCAAGTTAAGCTGGGCAGACCCAGCAACAAAAGACAAAGTATTCAGGAATTACACAGAGAAACATAATCTTTGGCAGCTATATACCCCAAAGATAGTAACAAAAACTACCTAGTTACAACAAATCTGGGTGAGGGAAACTTAGAGGAACCACTGGAGTAGGAGGGTGACAGCCGCCATAACCTTTATTGATCACCAATCAAGGACTCCACTCCGATAGCTACAGCAATGTCAGGGCAGAGAGGCACCTCCAAGTTCAGCACAGCCTGGTTAGGAATCTTGCAGCCAGCAGCACGAGGATGATCAGCAGGGAGGTCAAACAAGCCAGCCTCACCTGCAGCTTCAACCTTAGCCCATAAAGCGCTGAAGCAAGCCTGCTGCTCCTCACCTTCACCATATAAGCTGCTAACGCACCCAGCCGCAGCCTCCCATCCACCATCATGGCGATCAGCCAATAGCTTAGCAAAAGCAGGAGAGCGCA